AGGGTAGACGGACGCAGTCGCTCCCGTTGCGCGTTGCCAGGAGAGCGATGGAGCGGAGGAATGAAGGAGCGACGCAGCAGGCTGGTGAACAGACACAGTCGCTCCCGTTGCGCGTTGCCGGGAGAGCGATGGAGCGGAGGAGTGAAGGAGCAACGCAGCAGGAGGGTAGACGGACGCAGTCGCTCCCGTTGCGCGTTGCCAGGAGAGCGATGGAGCGGAGGAATGAAGGAGCGACGCAGCAGGCTGGTGAATGGACGCAGTCGCTCCTGTTGCGCGTTGCCGGGAGAGTGATGGAGCGGAGGAGTGAAGGAGCGACGCAGCAGGCTGGTGAACAGACACAGTCGCTCCCGTGGCGTGCGGAGCCGTGAGAGCGAGGGAGCGAAAGAGTGAGAGTGAGAGAGCGACGTAGGGGACAGCGATCGGTCACTTGGCCGTTTGCTCCACCAGCAGACTCGGACGGACTCGCCACGCCCCCTGGCAGCGGCGGCGGCGGCGGCGTGCGATTTCACAGTGAAGTCGCAGCCTGACGCCACACAGTGCCTGCATGTGTAGTAGTGAGTGAGAGAGGTGTAGCACACACGCGCACACGGAGAGAGAGATGGAGCACCGAGCACACACAAGTACCGTGTATCCGCACGGTGTGTCGCACTAGTGCCGCGTGGGCACGTCGCACTAGTCGTGTGTGTGGGTACACTGTCGCACCTAGTACCCACTATTGTCGTGCTAGTGCTGTGTGGTTATGCTGTCACACTAGTGCAGTGTATTGTGTCATGTCAGATGTCATCACACTAGTGCTGTGCATGCACGCAGTGTCGCACTAGTGCCTGCTATCGTCGCACTGGTGGTGTGCATACATACAGTATCACGAGTGCCAGCTATGATTACACTATTGTCAGCTATCGTCACACTAGTGCCGTGCATGCACGCAGTGTTGCACTAGTGCCAGCTATCATCGCACTAGTGCCGTGCATGCACGCAGTGCCGCACTAGTGCCAGCTATTGTCGCACTAGTACCGTGCATGCACGCAGTGACGCACTAGTGCCAGTTATCGCCGCACTAGTACCGTGCATGCACGCAGTGTCGCACTAGTGCCAGCTACCGTCGCACTAGTACCGTGCGTCAGGGGGGGCAAACCTTCCTTTTCCATATAAGGCTGTCTTGCTTTCTGTGAATCTAGGACGTGATGGTCGTCGGAGAGCCGTCGCTCATGGGCGGCGAGTTTGGCGACGAGGACGAGCGCCTCATCACGCGGCTCGAGAACACGCAGTACGAGCCGTCGAACGGCATCGACGACGCGGACGACTACGCCGCCGCCGCCGCCGCGGGCGCCGCCCCGACGATGACCTCTGCGGGGTCGTGGCCCGGCGGGCAGGACCGCAAGGCGGGGGCGCCGCCGGCCGGAGCGGGGGGCGGGGGCGGCGGCGGCCCCGACGTGCCCATCAAGACGGAGTGAGGGGGTGAGGGGAGAGCGAGGGAGCGACGCAGTGAGGAGGGTGGACAGACATGGTTGCTTCCCGCGTGTGCGGAGCTGTGAGAGCGAGGGAGCGACGCGGCATGGTGGACAGACGCGGTTGCTCCCCGCGGGTGCGGAGCCGTGAGAGCGAGGGATTTAAGGTAACATAGCAGTAACGCAATAGGGTGTTATTAATATCAAGAGTAGATAATAACACTCTTGATAATAACACTCTAGATAATAACACTCTAACAAGAGTAGACAATAAGTGTGTTATTATCTACTCTTGTTAATATGTTACCTTACCGTATTGTAGTTATATATATTCAGGTATCATATATTTAATAATTATATATGTGTGCGTGCGTTATATTTATATATATTATTATATTGATATCGATATTATACCTTATCGTATTATAATTGTACGTGTTATTTACCTGCTACTGTAATCAGTAGCTAATCATACTTATATAAAGCTATTATTAGCTCTATATATAGGTATCATTAGCTCCTTATTATATTCTTATATAATAAGATATTAGTAGCTGTGTATATATAGGTAACATTAGCCCTTGATTATACCCTCGTATCAAGAGTACATAATAAAACCATGGTTTTATTATGTACTCTTGCCTCGTATATAATAAGGTATTATAAGCCCTTTGATCCGAAATTTGGGACATTGCACCGTTTTGCAACAATATTTCTGAATGAAAAAAAGGTTGCGGGTCGGGGTCATCACCCGGACCCCCCTCCCCCCCCTCCCCTAGCAACTGTGTCTTGCGTGCCTTCCTTTCAAATCTAGCACCTTCTGCTGTTGAGATATTGAAAAAGGTTGTGAGGCATGAGCGTGTGTAGGCCAGTAATAAATATTACGACAGACAAGGTGGCTGGGCAGGCAGGCGGGCGGAAGGGTGGCAAAGAACAGAATAATTAACTTCCCCGCGAAACAAGACGACAAGCCGACGTCGTGAAATTCCTCAACGCAAGCGATGAAAGTTAATCTCATGGAATATATATATCTAGTCAGATTGCACATTATTTCTAACGTTACTTAACCCTGTTTTTGCTAATTTGTCAGTTTTGTTTTTATGACGTGGGGTGACGGCGGTGGGGCGTCTGCGTCTGTTGTCTGCTGCTGATGACGTGTTCATTACGTATGCAGCGGTGGCGCCGCCGCCGCGTAAATCCGCGTGTTAAAAAATTCACGGCCCGCTTTCCTCCTCCGCACGTCTTGTTGTTAGTTTTTGCCGCCGTCAGTAAAGGTAGCGACGTGCAAGACGGTTAATGTAGCGGCGAGAGAGACACACACAGAGAGAGAGAGAGAGAGAGAGAGAGAGAGAGAGAGAGAGAAGTAGTAAGAGAGAGAGAGAGA